GAAGACGTTCTTCATCACGTTTTCACCGGTCTAGCCAATCTAGAGAACGATCTGGCCTATGTTGGTACCATCGGCGGTATGGTGACAAGGCACAAGCCCGTAAATACCCATGTAGTAACCCTTAGGCCTTCAAGCCGTCCAATTTACATTCGGGAAACGAGAAGGCCGGCCAGTAATGGCGACGACTGGCTTAGGCGCACAATCTAGTCGCCTATTTTACGTCCCCAATTCACACAGCGGTTTAAAATTTTTGATTGACACTGGTGCCGAGGTTAGCGTAATTCCTCCAGAACCTGACAAACGCTACCTCAAAACCTCTGGTCTTCAACTTCAAGCTGCGAACAATTCGCCTATTGCAACGTATGGTCAAAAGTTACTTACCTTAGATCTGGGCCTAAGGCGACAATTTGCCTTCATCTTTACTGTGGCTGATGTTCAACGCCCAATAATTGGTGCTGATTTCCTTTCCCATTTTGGTCTACTAGTTGATATGGCACAACGAAAGCTTATGGACTCAAATACGACACTATCAATTCGTGGAGCCTCTGCTTCAATGAATTCAATTGGAATCCATCCGGCTACTGCACATTTGGTTTTCCTAACGTGATAAAACCACTTTATTTTTGACGCCGTTTATTGGTGATATCCGTCGATTTTTTCACAACCCTCTCATCTGTTAACAATGCGTGACCCTATTGCTGTACACCTCTGTTTGGAAAACAGCATTTCAGTCAACTCTCTCCCGTGCTTTCCCAATGCCCGAGTTTGGCTTATGTGACCTGAGGACCATTTTCGTAATTGGATGATTGCCTCCAATTCTCCAAATACTTTTATGCTTGTGCATCGCTACCGAAAGATGCTGCTACAGACATTATCGACTTGCTTGGAACAATGCATTCTGAAAACCCCTTTGGAGATTTGAATGTTGCTGCTCTAGCACTATTGATCAGCTTAAACGAGCCTCGTCGTCGACGCCTACTTTTTGGCATCGAACTAGTTGACAGGTCTCCTTCTCAACTCCTTTGGCATATACGCCTCTTTTTTGGGAATATCAAGGTTAATGATTCCGTTCTATGCCAAATGTGGACTAAACTTTCTTGGCACACATGAACACAATCACCTCGTTCCTAAGCTCTAGCGTACATTTGGATTAGCTCACAGAAATGGCTCATAATATCCGCGAATGTCTGACCCACGGAGCGGAAATTAAAACCGTCTCCTCTGGTGTAGCAGCTAACAGATAGCCAACCACCTACTGAGATTGGATGAATTATCATCTAAACAGCCTCAGCAGCGACAGCGCACCAATTACCGTTTCCGCTAGCCAAGTCAACCCAGGAAGAGATCCGACCTACTCTTGTTACTCGTTGTCGGCTTTGCTGATTCAGTTCACCTATTGTCGAGCGTTTACTGTTTCACAGCTAACCCTCTAGGGGGGAATATTTGTAGCGGATTAACAGCGATCGCGCCTGAGTGAACCATGGTTACTGACCTGACTGTGACAATGACTCATCTCCTTTTCATTGGTTACTATATCCGATGCCTGTCATCCGTTCACTCATCCACACACTAAGACACACTTGGCTGGCGTGACGCTAATAAACGGTCGTGTCCACTGTCGCCTCTCTTCTCTCCATTCTCGGGTTGTCTTGGGCTGTTAACTAGAGGGTTGTCAGGTAGTGCTTAGACCATAAGCTACTACAAGTCTTCCTTATAAAATTTAGACACTTCTTTGACAGATTTATTTGCAAAATATCCCTGCAAAATTTTTTTATTTAGCTAAGACAGCAAAATTGCATTTTTAAAAAATACAATGCAAATAATTACAAAAAAAGTCAAAAGTGCCTGCAATTATTCCTTTAAACTAAAGTTTTATAAAACAAATGTACTTTCAGCTTTGTTTTACTACGTCGTTTCATGTGGACATTGTCTGCGTCTTTTAAGTTGTTTTTCGGCGATGTCGGTTTCTGGTTGTGGTGCTCTGGGTAATTTTGGTATAATCTCTTACTGTACTTTTTCTTAAGGTGATCCTGTAAATACTGCTAATGAAACTGAGGTGGTAGGCAATTCAAACACGGTCGTGGATGAATTTGATGAGTTGTTTCTAACTGATATTCGGCAAACTGAGGATTTTGTCTCGTCCTACGATTCTGTGAAGCAAAACTCTATCGTTAAAAATGTTAGTGCTCGCGATCACTCACCGTCCAAAGAGGATGTATCAGAAAAGCGGGAAGACACCTCTTTGAGCTCCTCTGATAAGTGCATATCACCAATTCACTGGGACCGCTCAGGCGAACCTGATCCCATTCAAGATGCAGTACACGTAGACGCTCCGGAAAATGAATTTTCAAAGGAGGCGGATGAGCAGTCTCAGTCTGAATCTGTCAAGCCTGAATCAAGCAAAGAAGCGGAGTGCATTGGCAATTCTTTCGAGACAATGGATCCGGATATCCTAACGGATTTTGACCAATTATTTATCAATACGAAGTACTTCCTCATAAAAAGCAATAACTTCGACAACGTCGAAATAGCTAAAAGGAAGAATGCCTGGGCGACCCCAATTGGGAATGAGGGTCGTCTGAACAGGGCATACTTTGATTCAAATAACGTCATTCTAGTCTTTTCTGTACGGGAAAGCGGAAAGTTTCAGGGTTTCGCACGGCTCGCTTCCTCATCAGATCCCCGCCTACATATAGACTGGATACTTCCTCCTCGGATGTCCCCCGATATGCTCAGTAGCCCCTTTAAACTAGACTGGATTACAAAGTTTGTGAAGTCTTGTTCAAGTTATTTGTTGTAGACAAGAGCTCCCATTCAATAATGTCGCCCATTTAACAAACGCATGGAATGAGGGGAAGCCCGTTAAAATAGGTCGTGATGGCCAGGTTGGCTTATTGGCTTGTAAATTTTACGATATTTGCGTTTTCTAGGAGATTGAGCCCGTCTGTGGTCAAGCACTATGTCGTCATTTTACATTGGATTCCGTGGAATCTATTCCTGCCATCGTCCGCAAAATAGAGCCGAAAAAGCTCAAGTCGAATGACTCCACAAGGCGTCGCAACGCCTTTGATCGTCTTGGCACCTCTCAGCCACATAGTTCCTCCTCCCGCCGATCTAGAGAACTAGGTTTCAACAACCCTAGTTCTGTCGGTCTTCTCGGAGCTGCAACAACGTCTTCGAGTTCGAATGTACCTCTTTTGATGCATCACGTGAATCCCACTTCTGCAGCTATGGCAACTGTTGCCGCCATGGCAGCGATTAAATCGAATCAATCTCGAGGTGCTTTGCTTCCTGGAGCTGATCTCTCTCGATTAATCAACCCGAATTCAACTCTTGTTCCCCACCTCCTTTCTCAAGCTGCTTCAACGAATCCAATCTCCCTTTCTGCTTTTTATAACAACCATGGATCTGCCCTTAACAGAAATTTACGTCAAAACAAAATTCCGACCAGAAAGCGACATGGGCGCAGTCGGAGCAAGTCTTTTACCAGCCGCAGCAGTTCCGGAGGCCGACGCAGCAACGATTCAGACTGCCATCATCGTAGTCGCCGAGAGCGTCATCGTGATTATCGTCAGTCCGCGGAACCTTATCGTTATCGCACTAGGTCAGGTGGCCTCGATGATGGTGACGATTCTCTGATGATGACTGCCATTTATTATGTGTTTTTCCCGGACATTGGGTTATTATTGTTGTTTTTATTGTTGCGATTTAATGTTGCTCAACGCAAAGAGCAGGTGCACACATTTAAAAGTGTGCTGGACATTGTCAATATTAGTAATAGCATGAAAAATCACCGCAGCTGCCGTCAATATGCCACCTGCAAGACGCTTGTTGCCTCTATATGTACTTTTACTATTGTCTTGGACTGCTTTCCATTATCTTTGACGTTTTTCTTTCAGGTTATGGACGTGATGTTTTACAGTAAATATTGTTCAACGAATGCTTATGTAACAATGCTTGTAACTTGTGATGTTTTGATACGTGCTCATTGAATTTTATAGCAGTGCTAATGGGTTCATATGAGAGGTCCGAGTAACATCTAGGCTCAATTAATACTAAATTTTCCCTTCTACTGACGCTCTGCTAGGTATTCGCGCGAGGATTCTCGTGGACGTCGCCACGGTGGAAGTAAGTCAGGCTTATGTCTGGTTTGTTTACCATGACTTTACGTATAGAAGGCCACACTCTTCTAAGTGTATTCCTAATCACACTTTTGAGGATCACTAATATCTTTCATTTGCACACTAAATGCATATTTTTGGTATACCTAAGTGGTTGAATCTGAAAGTGGTTATTCACCATTCCTAGCCGGAGGTGTGAAAGTGTCTGTTTTTATCGTTCCTACTTGTATCAGCAGGCCGTGATTTCGATGACACGGCGGCATATGTTACCTTGGAATGATAAAATGTCATATACCCTGTGCTCCTATAGCACTCAACGGACTTGTTTAGTACATGTCGTCAGTTATAACATAGAACGCCTCACGCCACTCGTTAAATGTCATGTCCTGGAGTGAATGTTATAGGAACCAACCAAGCAGTGTTTACAGTTTGGCTTGTGTATTGTACTTCTAGGTCGGCGGGAGCGCAGAAGCAGTGACCGCTCACCTTCGCCATCAAATGCCAACTCGTTTATCAATTGGGTGAGTGTTTTATACCTCGCTGATGCGTGAGCTTGTTCAGTTACTTGTCCCAAATCGGGCTTTGTGGAACTTTCATAAAGTAGTTCAGCCAATCGAAATCGCTTGCGAATCAAAGTTTTTTTTCTTCTGTGATCTGGCACCCTAACATCTACATTATTGTGATATTTTGTTCCTAATTTTATATCACTGTGGCCCAGTTTAAATTGAACAGATCCATTGTACATTTGGCTGACTCAGGTATTTTGCCTTATACATCTGATGCATTAACCTTCTTGCATTCCTTTTAAACAGAATTATGAAGATTATCTTCATGAGGTTAGTCGCGGCCTCAATCCAAACCTTAACTCTCTTGTAAGTATAGAGCCTTTTTATAAACACGATGAAATGCTTTGTAAACTGACACTTTTTTCCACAAATGATAGGTGGCCGTAAATCCTCAGGCCCTTCTGCATACTGGAGTAGACCCTGATCGACAGGCAGGTTTTTATTTGCTGTTGCTTATTATTTCAGCTCTTAATTGTCATTTCGTTAATGCTTCGGTGTGTGAACGTTTATGCATTAGTAGAGGGTGTAAGTTTTAACATTCAATTCAGCGATCAGGCTGGTATTGTGCTTTGCGCTGTTAAGATTGGGGCAAATTTTCGTCTGCTATTAGCGCAATTGAGAGGCCTAATGAGTGTATATCGGCGTTAGTACCGCAATATGCTAATAATGAAGGTGCCTGGCAGTGCTGCTGACGTCTGTGAATGCAAGGTCCTTAGCTTTTCTAAGCTAAGTAAAAGATCCTCTTTGACGTGGTGGAATCTGGCTTTTACACAGGCTACGTTAACTTTTCTAGTATGAGGAGCGCGTAAACGCTTTTCTGCGCAACGCGTCTACGTCTCACCAACCAAAGGGCCGTTGGTCGAGGCATGGTGATGACGATGATGGCGATAATGACGACTATTCGCGTAGCCGATCTCCCTCAGACGATCGCCACCACCGCCGAGCTGGTCGTCGTAGTCGACAACGCTCCTACGGTGAGCGCCGACGCTACTTGGATGCGGAGGATGAGGGTAGTGCTGCTGCTACCTACTACCATCGAAGGCACGATCGTTCTCGTTCCCGTGGTGCTGGGTGTTACGACGATGATGACTACGAAGAAAGGACGTCAGATCACTCACGTTATCGACGTTGAAATATTAGTTCACGGTCTTTGTCGTCTGTCAGCTTATATAAATTCATGATTGTAAATATTACATTGTGTTTGAATGATGGTTACTTGGTTTGCTGTACGTACCACACCATGTTCATGCAATAAATCCTGTTTTGTATGCACTCTAGCCAATACTTATCGTTTAGTTTGTGTTTTTTATTCCCCTGCTACTAAAAGTGTTTCGAAGTTCCTTTTTATTTTGTCACCGACCCGTTCGTTTATTTAGACCGGGATAGCGTAGTGCACAATTAGTCACTCACGTCACCGCGAATACACACTCATCTGTATCACATATTTTCAAAGATATAACTCTAAGCTTAAAGGTATCCACAGCATGGAATTGTTCAGCTCTCACAAGGTGTCATCCGCTGTAACTAAAGCGCTTGCTCAGCTACACCAGAAGCTTGTTGTTCCTACTTCGCGTATTTAGCTTTTGTCCCTTGCACTTGGCACATGTTACCAGGATGAGCTCAGGTGAATTCCTCTTGGAAGTACTTGGTTTCTAGATGAGCGTGCGCTGAAGTACCAGCTCTGACCGAGTAAGCCTTACACTAAGCTGAAGTGTGTCAAATGTGCTAAGGACATAATTTTTTTTGTCGTTTCCATTTCCTGTATTGCTAGATATTTCCCATCAGCAACTATCAAAACGCACATGTGGTAGGAGGTTTTCAGGCATAATTCTGATCTCTGTTAACGTGTTTCCCCGCAACAAAGGCCATGTACTTCACCTGAATTGGCTCTCGATTGTACCAATGCAGTATTGTGTTCGTCTGCCTCGTTAAACTCCCCTTCCTACATTATGCTGGAGTAGTTCTCTTTCTGCCAATTATGTTATAACGTGGTCTGTGTGATTGTAAAATTCAGTAAATATAACTTCGTTAATATTGAGTCAAGTGTGCGCGAATCAAAAGTCAGTCCACACATAGAGTATGTTTTAGAAACGTCGCTTGCGCTCTTTCATGCACCTAAACTGAATTTCACTCAAACATGCTTAGCTTTCCGTTGGTTTATCGGCAATTTGTTAAATAATCCTAGGTTTGTCGGCTTAGCCGAATTTTTTAGCACATCGCCAAAGGGCTATGCTCAAGCGAAGGCAGAGAGCACTATTAAGTTTCACGACGTTCTATTTTAGTGTTATCACCATTTCGTTGCCTGTCACAGTTCCTTTCAAAAAAGAATGATTCGTTTAAAATTAAAGCAGCACTGATGGTGTTCTTATCCTTCATAAGAGTCAAGTGAAATAACTCTGGTTGTCGCTTAGGTAAAACGTTTTTACCACAGCCACACTTTCTGTAATTGTCGGTTTCTAATTCTTTGCCTCTGCCATTCCCATGTAACGATTTTCTAATCGAAGCAGAAACACATAACTCCTAATTTGCAGCGTGCAAAGTCAATCAAATTGGCACCGGTGCGATGTGTTAGCATTAATTGCTTCGGCTTGCAATAATCTGCTACCACACAGCCGTGCATTCACCGCCCCGTTAATTCTGACACCCCATCTGAGCAATCTCCGTATGTCAAGATTCGTTTGTGCTTTAGCTTCGTAGAGGATAGGCAGGTGTGATAGCGACCGCCAATTTTGTGCTATTTCTTGCAACTTCCAACGCACTCTTTTCTGAGATAATTTTCCATGATTCTCAAGTTCCTTCTTAGCAGTTTAACCATCCTCAAAGGTGTCTACTTAGACGTTTACGACTCTGTAAAGGTAACACATCTTATTAAACCGTCTCTTTTTCTTAAAACCTTAACACAATTAAGCAGCTTTTCGATTCAAACGTGACTGAATTTTTTCGTTTGTGTTAATCTTTGACAAGTGCGTATTAAGCTCTAATCCTTTAAATCCTCTCGTACGGAAATGGTTTTGTGAGTGCTTTTTAGTATCAGCTGATTTGTGTTAAGGACGATTGATGTTGTTGTTTTAAGTCCTATTTCGATTGATCTTTGTTGACTAGACTCCTCTAGTCTTTTTTCTCCACATAAGTGCTATTTAAGTAGGCTCGGTGGATTTTCTTAGACATTTTAATCATCTCTGGGCTGGTTTTCGGTATCATTTCTTCGTTTTAAACATAACTCCCAAGGTAATTGTAAACGTAACTTCCTTATTCCCACTAGGCTTGAGACCTGTCTGATCATTAGATGTTAATAGCTTCTTTACTTAATTTTTTTGTAAAAACCAGCCATCAAAAATAAGTGGAAGTTAGCGGACAATAAAGATGCGAATAGGTAGTATTGTTTAGTTATCCTTTTCCTCAGGTATTTAGCAAGGTTTGATGTTAATTGGTGTTTATATTTTTCTTTCGAAGAGGTTGGGTTTTTGCGATTAGTCAGCTTAATCAACTTGGCGTTTGGGTTTTTCATTTTACTAACCCGCAGCATCTGTATAATATCCCCCGCATGCACAATTTCTACACCCGGCCTGTCGGGACACCTGAAGTTATCCCTCTGAACCTCTGATGTATATGTAGTGAATTGACACTTTGTGCCTACGCAGCATAACACATTTGTCAATTTCACCGATTAATTGTTTTGCACCCCAATTAGCCGCCCCAATTCTGCAGTACTTTGCGTTTCTGTTTCCAATCGACACAATCTATTTACGCTTAGCCGCATACACTGGCTATTTAAGTCAATTTAATGATATAAAATTTGAAAACCAGTTCGGTCTCTAGTTAGAGTTAGCAAAAAACTGGTCATTTTTCATGAAAAATGTCTTCCCAACGGCTTTTCGCCTAATGTTTTCGTTCAAATTCGTTTGTTACAATAGCATTTTGGTATTTAGCAAGGGGATCGGTCGCAGTTTCAGCTTCTCTGGCGCATCCGCCCTTCAACTGACACTGGCAGGTGTAGGGGTTCTGTCTTCCACTTGTGGGCTACGCACATGTTATCGACTTTATTGACAGTAAATGCCAGCTTCACGTTTAAGGCATTCTTGCTGAATTCAACTCGCTTGGATTACGCATGGTCCAGTCCGTTTTTAGGTTGAAAAGGTCTTGCGAGGTGGTCAGAATGATCCAGACACCCACCGAACCGTGCACCGTTGCCCGACAAAAGGGCCGCCAAGAGCTTCTAAAGACAGTTGTTTTCACATGATATGCCTAGAGCATCCAAAGCGTAGATCCTCAAAGATCATCTGTGCAAATTCACGGGGAAAACCTCGTTCCCACGCTCCTGTTCAATTTAGAAATAGAACATTCAAAAATTTGCCTACCCTCCCCATCTGAGTCCCCGTTATTCCCTTCTCAGTGGTAACTAGTCAATCTGTGAAATCTGACATATGCGAGGGTATAAGACTATTGGGCAATATCTGTATTCTGTGTTAACACAGTGGTAAATGTCTACACAACATATCAACACCGCGCCGGTTCCTAATATGCGCATACCGAGACTAGTTTATACAGTCTTCCACGTGATTCATTTGGTCTATTGGTCAATGACCGTTAATCTCAGCAGTAGTAATCCAACCGGCTGTTAGTGTTTTTATCAAATCTCAGGCATCTTTTTTGGGCTCCTGTAGTTTTATCACCACAAATAGAGGAGCACAATTAACACCATGCTTCACCGTGTTCCGGAATGAGTGTTTTTAAACTGCGGCATGTCTTCCGGCATCCACTTGGCTGGTCAAACATATTTGGTAGAAATTAATGAGACTTTTGTCAGGAATGACCACATCTATTAGCTGACCAGACGCGGTGTCCCTTGAACTATGAAGGAAAACATTAAACCTTCTCCAGTAAAATTGAGAAAACTGCTTCTGCTATATGGTCATAGGTTTTCGTGAATAAGATTCGGGAGAGCTCAACAGTTATTTTCACAACAACTTAAACTTAACATTCCTGATTTCTGTCTTCGGTACCAAAAGACATACACGCCGAAGCCCGTTTGTACGATGTTGCTTAAAATCCAGTAGGGGTGCCTAGAATAGTTACTATTTACAGACAAGACCGATGCTCTTTCTCCTCTCTCCCTCAAGGAAAGATGATTTTACTCCGAATTCCTGTAATTATATCTCCCCTAAACTCGGGTTTTACCTGACCGCCGAATTCCCATGCCCGATTTGCAATTTCAATACGACAAACTTCCAGCGTTAACCCAAGAAACGTCCATAGTGGCTTACTAACAGTTTTGTCCGAGAGAGGTTCACCTGCGCCTATTTCAAGCATGTCATCAGTTCTTACGCACAGTTAATCCCCATTGTTCACGTCTTCTGTGAATGCGCCCACGCCCCCAAGGTCGCGACTGCTTTGATTTGCATCCTCCCTGTTTAAGAGCGGTAATAGTGATACACTTATAGGACTCTTAGGTTGCACGACATGAAACGGTTTGCTTTCGCTACTGCATAGATGACTTCTGCGTACACTTGCAAGCAATTCATTTTGACGCGTCGAAAAGCTTAATTACACCCGTTCGTGGTGTGCAGGCCTCACCAGCAGGCGATTTCCACTTGAGAGTGTAAACTGGATTAAATCCCACGCTGCGATTACTCTGACAGTCGCAATTTGGAGGCAGGATTAAGCGCTGCATGGTTACCATAAGCAAGCACGTGACCGCCGATAGCAAACTCGAGGAGTCTAACGTTGCAGTAAACAGTCAACAGCTACTTGTTGCTTTACTGTGTCGTTATTCAAGAGGGTAGCTTTAACACCAGTTGAGACCCTGTCGATTTTACTTGGTGGAAACATCTGAGACATTCTGGAGCGTTTTTCGCTCAGACACCAAGGTCTAGTTTCACTTCTGCAACAGAAGTTTGACGTCTCGCAGGAAACGAGCTCTGCGTGCCGGCATTGCAAAAGTCACATCGCATCCGAATGCAGTTCTAGTCCCAGAGTACAGGCTCCCTTTAACAAGGAGACAAAGGATTTGCCGCTGTCCCAGAATAGGTTCTATGTCGACACAGCAATTGGTTTGGCACCAAAATGACAAATGCTACACACCAGTTCTTCAGTTCTACTTATGTTAACCACAAGACATACTGGAAACGACTAGGCTGCACAAAACCCACCACCAGTAGTAAGGATAACGGGTACTCTTCGAAATTTATTAAGAATGTTCATTTGCCAAAAATACAGAACAGTCCAGTTTCGTGTTTGGCGCGTGGGACCTCGAGGAAGAAATAACAAACAGGAAAAGAGGAGACAAATGCAGCAGAATTAGTTTGAAACCTCCTACCTTTTAATCACGTTTGCAAGTTGCTGGAAGAAAACGAGAGGGCGTTGGGCAAGAAAAGCACGGGAAAATCCTTGAGCCACTCTTCGCTCCCCCAAGCAAGTCAACCGAAAACAACAGTACTACTGAAAGACAACTGAGTAGTAGAAGTGTAACCGACGACAACGAACATTCTTCTACACACCAGCAGTCAAGTGCTTTCAGTGTGGTTGAACACGTATTTGTTCGTGAAAACGAGAAATTATAAGTAAATATGTATATGGGTATCTTCAGAAGATTGCGTAAAAAAGCCAGGTTTGGTGAATTAATTAATTCACAAACAGGTGTCCCCTGTATAGCCGGATGTTTACATATGTATATATTGACAGACGATTTCCTAAGCCTTTACAAACGAAGGAGGTCTCGGTAAGCGGCTGACAATTTTTGGCTCGATGCTCTTCTAAGGAAAAATAAAATCAGGTAATTAAAATGCGGGTTGCTTTGGAGGCGGCTGTGCCGGCTGAGCTGGGCATGGTGCATTTGCGGAGGTCACTACCTCAACGGCGTTGTAACCACCGCCGTTTTCAGGAGCGACATCATTGGCTTTGCCGGGAGTCGGGTTAGCGTAGTTTGCGCCCGACTCGTCGTAGGGTTTGCGAGCGGGCTGGTGAAGTACTCCTGCTTGCTGGTTTAATTGATCGATTGTAATTGTATTTTCAATAACTGCGGCCGCGTAGTTGACATTCATCTGGTCACCGGAAATCGAAATCACTCGGCCCTGGATTCCAGATACAAACACGTTTTTGGGGGAGAGGTGGATTATTGTGTTGGTCTGGGCTTGCAGGTCCGCCAAAAGCCGACCCTGTGGGCCTGCTATTCGGATGACCAGATTTTCAGGAATCTTAAAAGAAACAGACATTACGTTGGATCAGCTTCATCAAGTACGAGGTCCCAAGGCAAAGCCTCTGTAGTTCGTGAAGACAGTGCGAACAATGAAAAGGGGATTCTGCGTATAGATCATACAACATACTTCGAAACTAGGGTTGTTAGAAAGCATCATGGTACTCAACTAACCATCAAATAGTCCGTATTAACATGCCGCCATTGTCTTAATTATGACTTAAAAGGAGCGGCAGATTCACTTCGTGATTATACATGTCCGCCTTCATAAATGCACGTTCTCATGAGGCAAGCAAGCGAGCGAAAAAAGTGTACGGCGAATTAAGAGTACAAACATGCGCAAGGAACAAAACAGCTTGGTGGAGCCCCATATTCTTCTGTCAGGAGGTGGAGAACATCCGATGGGTCTAACTGAATCATAGATGATCCACGAACAACCCTTGGCAAAAATAAGCGGTTTGAGAACATGTTCTTTCATTACATGAACATGGAAGTGTGTCAAGGGGTTCTGTACATTACCGTAGTTAGGACTTGTTTTCAATAGGTTTAAAACACTTGATGAAATCTTTAACTAGATTCCGAAAAACCGCACTGATCAATGAGTAATGACACACTACAATTACGTAAGTAGGTGAAGCTAAACACCAAACCGCAAATGGATACGTGAATTTTGCTAACAGAAAGATGTTACTCCGGAGGAGGTCTATACACTGATAAGCGTTAACGCATTTTCAGATCATCGGGTCATCAAAGCGTCCACTATGTGACTCATTGTCAATGGAGATCGCAAGGTTTCTTATTTCCGCCTCCGTAAACGTGAAGGCACACAAAATTAACCCACTCATGCCTTTAGAAGACAATTTATCTGGAAACAGAACGAAGTCTAAAAAGCCGATGACAGAGTCCCGAGCCCCTGCATTCCATTCCTACTAGAGTATTGCTGCGTTAGATTAATGATCAGAGCACATTTTATGCCGTGAGACGTGCTGTCAAAACTTCAACAGAGGAAAAACACACATCGTAAGATATTAAAGGCATCTTAAGGACCACTCCAACTAGTCTTTTTGTGTTCCGGATTTGAAAACAAGAATTTCCATCGCATATACCATAAAATACAATCCTAGTAGTGAATTTCTACCAATTTTATCGCATTACAGTCAAGCGTTCGTTACTTTTAATCAGAAATAGCCTGGTAGGTTTCTATTACTAATGATTGCGCAAAGAATATACATAAATAAATAGGATTAATGTGACAATCCTCTCAGAAGCCAAACATTAGACAGCCCGTTTTGACCGCTGGTGACTCAACAAACTAAAAATGTGGTCGAGGTTATCTGAAATTGCATCGTGCCATTATGGCCAATAAAACACCGCACGGAGTTCGTACCAGGAGTTCCCGCGTACAAAATAGTCCGCTCGCTACGGTCGACGAAGACCGCAACATTGGTGTTCCTGGCGTTGGGGCTGCAGCCACGGCATTTGAATTCGCCGCTGCCGCAGTGGCGTAGAGTCCCATAAGGGCAGCAGCGGCAGAGGCGGCTATGTATGAGGGCTGTTGTCCGCCATTATTTTTGCATTCCTCCCACAGTGCTGCGGCGGCTGCAGGCCCAGCCGTCTCGCCAGGATCGCCGCCTCCATGCTGCCCGGTGTCGAAGATACTCAGCGCGTCGGTTGTCGACACGGCAGTCGTGGAGTTGGAATTTTTCATGTTCGCTGAGGCGACAGCAGCAAGAGCAGCCACCTGGAGCGCAGCGTTTGCAGGAACATCAGGTGTGGCAGTGGAGGGGGAAGAGGGAGTCGTAAAGGCCGTTGTTTGGAGGGGTACAAACGGACAGAGCTGTGCGGTGGCGGCGGCGGCGGCCGCGGAGGAGTAGGCGGGTTCGCCGACGAAAGGGGGGGCGGCACGTGCTCCCATGTACTGAGAAGCAACGCGGGTATGTGGCGCTGCTGATGGCATTAGCGAATCAAACATATTTGGGGCTACAATTAGTAAACACTTTTACTGTTTGAGTACACACTGCTGGCCTGCCATTAGAAGTTTGAAATAAGGACAAGGACTTGTAGTGGACTGACAGCCGCCCCGCGCGAGTGTGCGTGCATAAAGGCCCGTGTGTAGCGATGACTCATCCCCTTTTGTTATTGATTTTTGTCAGCATTCGTCTGTTACGCGCGCGTACTCATACGCAGACAAAGTCACTTGGTTGTTTTGACATCAATAAACCAGTCGTGTCCGCTCTCGCCTCTTCTCCACTCTACTCGAGTTGTCTTGGGCTGTTAATTAGAGGGTTGTAATGACTAATGACTGATAAACATGTTTAGATAAATTCACAATCTATTAAAAACTATCGTTTTTACTAACTCTGTCAAGTTTTGGTAATACCAAGGGATTCGTGAGCAAAGCGAGCCCTGTAGATCCCTGGATCTTCGAACCATGACATCGAGACAGGTATCAAGGTAAAACAACTGAAACCTTTCAACAGCAGTCTGCATTTAACATTAATTCGATAAACTAGGCTCTTGTGCAGATCTTTTTGAAGACAGAAATGTCACTTTTTTGCGTTAAATGTGTACTCATTCACATACTGTAAGTTTCGATTTATGCAGAGGAAGTGAATGCACACATGTCACCAACCGCTGCAGCCATTGGTTTCTAAGCTAGTAATATATGGAAAAAAAGTTTACTTAACGTGGCGCATGGCGATTTCTTCAATATTCGGATGTGCACTAATGGATGTGGTAGAAGATATGGTATTACGTAATTGCATGCAATAAATTTTTTTTCCTTTATATCTGTCAAGACTAAGGAAAGGTACAGGAATTGTTCCTTAAAGAGGTTCAAAGTTAAGCGTTTTTGGGATGTGTTTGTCGAAAACAAAAGAGTTCGTGCGTTTCTGGAATGAATTGTTTTTAGTCGATCCCCTGATCGCAACAGAGGACACATTAAACACCGGCTGGTGGGCAGGATAAAGGAAATTAAATGTACACACGTATATCTATTTTTTCGGACATTAAAAGGGAGGGTATTATAGGTCGGAATTCAATTATTCTCGTGTGAGATGTGCGGTGTCGCGCAAAGGCAAGAGAACTGCGGTAATTAGGAGAGATTAGTGGTCAGGAGACAAGGCAAACAGACTAACCTGACTTTGAGTTATCTACGAACAGGGATCTGCTTTGCAATGAAAAAAAAAACTAATCTGACTCACTCGCTAGGAACGTTGGACTTGAGCAAAACGATCCCAAGGAATTAGCAGCAGCCGTTGCCAACGGTGGTGTTGGTGGTGCCTGCTGTTGATTTGTTGTGGCAGCGACTCCCGCACCAGAAACTAATCCGCCCATTTGAATGAAGACATTCAGAGCTGCGTTCTGCTGTTGCAGTGTTGTCAGCTGATCACCATTGACTAGACGCATGAGGACCGCAGCGTCGATGGGAGTGATTGCAGAGGTTGCCAAATTCGTAAGGTAGGAGTTCGTGGTGATCGATGCATCAGGTCGCAGAATATTTCCGCCATGGGTAATGAAGGGGAAGGCGTAGGGTGAGCCAGTTGGATAGACGCTTGAGACAGGACCTCGAACGTCTGCGTAGGAGAGGTTGGGGCAAGATGAGGATTGGGGGTCGGACGCAATCACTGCGAGGATAAGATCCATTGCCGTTCGCATCTGGTGTAACTCACCTGAGTTTAAAGAAAGTTGATGCAATAAGTTTTGAACAAGACAATGATCGATCTAACGTGTTTGCTAAAAATCGCAATTTATTAATGCCATGAAATGAATTAAAAATGGTTTGTTGGAGAAAGAGGTTGTGTGAAAGGGGTTCATAGCAGTCAAAGTAATTAAGTACCACTAAACGCCAACTTATCTAGACTGCCCCTCTATATTTTGACGTCTATTAATCTGTCTACTTATGCTACGATTGTCTCTTAAACCGACTCGAGGTATTTTAAAGCTTGCTAAAAGGTTACAGGTTGTGCTGGCTTAAAATAGACTGTATTCCTATCCAGCTGATGCCAGGCGGGAGTCATGCACTGCAACATGGACCGTTATTCCATAGCATGTGACAGGTGACAAATAAGGCTGTATTTAAAGGTGTCACCAAGAAAATTCGCAAATTGGGACAGTATGCTTGCAGCACCGCAACACTGTTTTCCATATTTACGTCAAATAAGTTATGCGTTTTAGAGCCAGGAAATTAAAACGCAATCTAATTTTATTAAGTATTGTGTAGTTCCATAGAATACAGCTGAATACTCGATTACTTCTGATAAACGTTGTAATAAGTTTTGTGTTTTTAAATTATCCACATTTTCAGGAGGCAAACATTCTTATTTCTTAAAAATATCCACTTTTATAAGTCTGATTAATAAAAACACAAGTTTGAATCAATAACGAAAAAACGAAAACCATAGGCTTGTTTTACATTCCTTGAATATAACCTCAGAGTAAATTCCAAGTTGAAATTCATGAATAAATTTTGCGTGAAACATTTCATAGTGCAACACTCAACATTTTCTTCCGCACAAACAAGCACGGACTTATTAAGCCAAAACAGTGATTGACGGCTTTAAAAAATTTATCTATAACTTTCGCTGTTAGCTTTAAATGCTTTCGTTCCTCTAAAGTCATTTGTTAAAAAAATTATAGTACGCAAAAAATACAATCATTTTTTATAGATATAACATCTAAGGGGTATAAGAAGTGTGATTTATTAAAGAAATGGCCGACAATGCGTATTATTGTGAAGAAACGGACCATGTTGAAAAGCTTTTTTAACACGACAACATGTTAGGTAAGACCTTAAATGCTACAACTTTGTCCGGGGTCTTCATGGTAGATGCACTTAATTCCCGTTTGAGGTTACCATTCACATGCAAATGACGCTATGACTCCTTCTCTGATGACCTTTGCAATGTTTATAATATGATTTGAAGACAAGCCACTTCCAAGCCAGGATTGCATTAAAACCAGTCAGGTGATGGAGTTTGTGAGAGATTACTGGAATTTTTCACCTGCGTTTGAGCTGAATTCCATATGATTTTTATTTGAGACGTAACTAGGCAAGCGTTGATTGCTCATCCTGTTGACATTGAAGAATATATGCTATTAAACAGTTTGCAAAACGAAAATAAGACCAACAAAAACACCCGAAAAAAGCAACCACAAGGAGCAATAGGAAATGGGTAATGAGCAAGGAAGATCAACGGAAATTTTAGAGTTGATAAGAAGTAAAATTAGTTAACAAAGAACTGACGATTAGAGTTTTTGGAACACCCTTTTCTTGATTTTTTGCTTTTTGAATTGTAGAAGCCAAACTATAACCAAACAGACGAAATCACACACGTGTCTCAAGGCAAAGAAATGCTAAATCATTAAAAAATGAGAATAAAGTGATGAGATAGAAGGAAGGGCTTTGCATAGTCATGGTTAAATCAGATTAAATTGGTCGTAGTCAAGACAACGAGCGTGGTAACCGTCGCAATAAGGCGGCTAACAACGAAGTTGTTTTCTTTTGCACAAAGTCACTCTATACCTGAACCTGAAACTGCGAAATGCCCTTTCGTCGGTACAAAAGCCAGTGGCTAAATTTGGAACTTTGGGTGTTTTTCCAAGGAATAATTTCTATCACCACTAGTATTACATTTCAATGGCGTGGAACACAATACGCGATTATAAAGAATCGTCTGTGACCATTGTAGGTTCCGGTTTTCCTGATGTCGCTTCCTTGGGGTTTGACATTGTGAATTTACTTTAGTGAAATACACCATCATTTTGAGTTGTTGACCAAATTAACAGGCGTCGTGGTGGCACGATTAAGTTCTAACCAGATATAATTTGTTTTTTGAAAAAAACGAAAATGATAAAGCACTTCTAATTTAGAAGATGATAAGAACCTGATTAGTTGATTTGGTAAATTGTACTAAGCCATAGTGCAGAAACATACACATACAAATCCTCAACTGAAATAGAACGAAATGACAAAGATTGCAAATGTAAAAAAGCCTCTGTTAGAAACAGTGGTGCCATGCCAGCTCAAGGTTACTGTAACATCAAAAAAACAGTTGAAGATTTTAAGCCTTCCAAACATATTCTCATCTTGATAAAAAATTCGAAACAGCTGCGTAGTCTAGCAACGGTAAAAGTTTACTAACTGCAGACAATATGCAAAATTTTGCTGCACAGTTAGGATGCCTTGCTATGCCACTTATAAATTTGATAATTGATAACTGATCGATTGACGAAATTATTTGATAAAATAGCAATCGTGACGATTCAAAGAAATCATTTAAAGCATAATTACAGCCACTAAACCACCATTGTCGGGAATGTCAAGGACCTCTGTTGGGTAGGAGGAGCCCCACATGAAAAAGTTGCACTACACAACTTTCGAATAAAAGAGTTTACATAACAAGCATAATACATCGTTGGTTGAAACGTAAGCAGTGTGGCATCAAGTTATTTCAAGTTGACTCTTTGGGTAAAAACGACAAGAGACAGAACAGTGTGATTTATGTGCCAAGAAATGATTGCACAGACCATGGTAGTACAAGCAAAATGAAATACCTGGGTTTAGGCCATAAATTACAAATGAAATTTAAAAAAAACGCTTTTAACGCTAAATGCATCATCACTTTGAGAGCTAATAAAACAGATCTGTTTGATTTATTGCGATCAGTGACGGGCATCTATTTTACTCAAACTTTATTCGCACACCTTTTGCCTATCGGAAGGTAGGTGTGCAAAAGTACTGGCTTTTTTAACAGTCAGTCTTTTCTAGAACACGACTTTGTTCTCTTATCCATTTGTTTCACAACCTTTCCAAAACACGATCGGATTGTAATAATAATGCATGTCCTTGCCACAGCTGCGACCACCGATTCTCTGCCAGTCTAGTAAAATTTGTTAGATCTATTTAACCCCTAAGATAACTATTTTGCCCACGAAAACTGGGTCGTACAGTGCTGTTTGCACTGAATGACCATTATATAAACGGTTTCACTCAGAAAAATAGACACTTGGTTTTAGAAATTTAAGTTACACTTAGCATCACCAAGACATGTCACGCCTCAAAGGCTTGGGGGTCAAAGATGTGAACCAAACAGTAGAAAAAGTAGGCTGCTTACCCGCAACAATGACGCATCGTTCGGGTAGCGAGAATTCACGAGATTTTTGGGAGATCTGAACATAAGCTTCTGATCGTTCCTTAATTTCCTGAATGTAGGTCCCGTTTTTTCCGATTATCATACCTGCAGTGCTGTTTGGAACCAGGATTTTTACCTAGAACAGAAGAACCTCAAGTGAGTAAATGACAATACAGAATTTAAGCGCCTTAGATCTGGGCCTTGCATTTTGTAGTGACTAGAGTATTTATTTGTTCAAACGTTACCGGATAAGCTTGCCTTCCAGTTAAGGTAGACGTGTCACAGGTCGATTCTGATCATTTTGGACTTCCATACATGAAAGTGGCAGATGATTAGCTTTTGTAATGCACTAACATCAAAGTTTAACGGACGAAATTAAGATCAGCAATTCTTCGTCTCCGACCCAAGGGAGTTATGACGAATGAGTCATAATCTTTTCATTTTTAGAAAAAAAACAAAACGGCTCCTCTGGTTGCGAGCCTAAAATTATGCTAAAACAAGAAACTTTTAACTCAAATGTGTGTTCGCCTTTTCCTTTCGCAGATTTATAACATAGCGTGGAAACGCAATGGCAACTCAATTATTGCCATCCAAATAGTGATGCGCGTCCTTAGTCTCGATGACCAACGTTGCCTACCCACTTGCCTGGTGGGAAAATAGCCACGGGAATAAGGTACAAAAAAGCGAACACGATGCGGCTTCTACAACTCATCAATCAGAGCTTAGACTTTGTGCGATCAAGTGGTAACCTCACCTTGAAGAAGAAGCTGAGCGGAATTAAAAGCAGCATTGATTACAGAGAATGGTTAGACGCACATGCAAAGTAAAATTTCTATGTTTCATTTAAAGAGTAAAATCTTGAGAAAAACACTTAATTGTTATAATGAAGGGCAAGCCAATGAAGGATAGTTTAATGATCGGAATATTCTTTAGAAACGTTCGTTTCGTCCATGATATTTTCCACATGCGTTTAAAACTCAAATAGGTTCGTAGGAATCAACATAAGTCTGCAAACAAATGTTTTTTTTGTTAAAAGAAACCTAGATTTATACGATACACGTTTGAAGTAATACAATATCTATGCAGCAGCAAATGCATTTTCGCCTTTGAAATGTATAAGGACAAAAATAGGCAACAGAGAATGCTCAAATCTCCACATAAACGAACGTTTTGAGCCCGTGAGGCCACAGTGACAAACGTGTCGTTAACTAAACTTGAGAAATGGCTGATGGGTTACTTCAGTCGCTTAAAATGACAGGTGATAAACAAAAAGGTTTAAAAGAGAATGCGTCCAGTGGGCACCATGAGTTGGGATTCCACTGGTTATTAGGTTTGTGTCTTCATCCTACTTCAGTTTTACGTTGTTATAAAGAGTGCACGGAGGGATGCAACTCAGCACTTACTCCCTACTGGCTTAGTCGTGACTCACGCAATAGTTGAGTCAAGTACCCACCTGGTTTCTATCCTTCTGCGCAATTCTTGTTGTCGTGAGTATTTATGGAGAAACATTTTGGTTTATGCACCTGGTGCTTGAGTCGTATGAGCTGCCATTTTGGTAGTCCAAGGAAAACGCCTACGTTCGTTAAACAATGTGTTCGTATGAAAACACTGCCTTCCCGAGTTTCAAATTTCAAATTCTACACTCCAAATGGGATTTTATAAAACTATATTCTTGCCCTACCAAAAAACCATATTTAAACCATCTACTTTTTCGCGTTGACTGCTGTCGATTTAAATGTCTTCTTAAAGGGCTCCAGAGATCTCAAAGAAGTCGCTCTTCCTAATTTACATAATTATTAATTACATATCGTACTGGATTTATCCTATTTCACTTGGTGACGTAATATTCAAGTTCTGTGGATCAAACGTATACACTGAAATCCCAACCTAAGAAGTCCATTCTACATCTAAGCGTATGGTTTGGATTCGAAAACACACTGTTTACTGCGTGAGACTCAGAAGCTAAAGGGAGCTTATATACCTCCGAGTGTGAAAAGTAAAAACGCTTCCCAATTGTGTACCAATTTAAGTGAGGTAAATAAACAGAAAGTAAGAAGTCATAGTTGGCTAGTAATCGAGATTCAGTGTTAACCCGTAGTGCCTTCTCCCCTGAAGTTTCTTGACATTTGCATTTTACAAAGAGATAATGGGGTAAATGTTTTGGCGAAAATGCATCCTCACTTAACCGTTGAGGCTTCAAGCATACGTGGTTAACCAAGATTCAGAAATTGTACCTTCATGTGAAGAATGAAACATTCTACATTACCATAATTTTGGCAATTTCTTAAAACAGAGGTGGAATTTTTACTGGACATGGCGGTAGAGTTGATTCCCCGTCTAGACTAAGCTGGTGCATTTGTCATGTTTTCTGTTCTCTTTAACAACGATCATGTAATTTTGATGCCCAAGACAAGGTGTTTCCAGAAATTTGTGAACTTACATATAACGGGGAGCCTAATTTGTCAATGTTGCTGACAATGACGATGAAATTTCAATAAACTCTTTTGACCACAAATTTTTTGTCCTGAACCTGATAGAATACACAACAAAGCCCATAACTAAAGTGCCTTTGGATTGCATGAAATAGCGAAAATTGAGGGAAACGTGTTGCAAGATTTCATATGGTAATTAGTTTTGGGCTCAAGTTGAACGTCTGCATTTCTAAAGCTATCGTTATAACAACAGTAATGAACTGCATTCTTAATGATATTTTATCCCAAGGAGTCTAAAATTGCGTTTTAAACTTTATGGTGATAGAGTGCAGTTGCTTCATTAGTCTGCACGCTGCCAAAATTGAATCTCAACGGAAGCTGCAACTGCGAACTTAGGCATTTGAAATCACAAATCAATTGAATGAACAAGTACAGTGGAATAGTAGAAAAAGTAGAATTTTTTGCTTAAGTTTTAAGAAGCACACGCAATTACAGGGGAATTGGAGAAGTTGAAAATTAATCCTTTTATCACCGTGATCTAATCGGAAGACCATCCTAAAGTTGAAAGTTTCTTTCATCAGGTGTTTTAAAAAGTGAGCTTTATACGTGGAACTGACAATTTTTACTATTGAAATCAGTAGCTGGTAAAATTAAAAGAGACTAGATGAACTAAGGTTCCAATATTTGTGTGAATCTTAGTTTGAAAACTGTTAATAAAATGAAAAGTCAAAATGCCCAGTTAACAACCCTTACTAACCGAAGAAAGTTTAAGCTGGAAAAAGATAATATGCAAAGTAAGTTCTAGGTAGTAAATGAGAAAATTTCCGAAGTTCGTTCACGCTTAACAGGTTCAAATGAGTATTATTTAATGCAGGTAAATTCAAGCTTGGTAACTGGACTTGTTCCTTACCTGTCGCAATCTGTTCTGAATGGGGACCACTATGTTTTCCTTTATTTGAGGAGTTACAAAGGTTTAGAGTAGAAAATATATTTAAATTTGACTTATTTAGCTACATCTGCTCACCAACGAAATGCAGTGCCTTTAAAGGAGCTAATTTACTTGTGAAAACTAAACAAGGTATAAGTCAGTTCTTTCAAATAAGAGAAATCAAGATTAAGAATAAGTTGATGCTCATTGTAGAGAAACCGAATATCCAAATTTCGAACTTGATTTTGCGCAGGAATCATGGTGAATTGAGCACACTTAATTGACCACTGTTTCACGAGAGGGTGGAGGTTTAAACGACAGAGTCTGGGACCTTGATTTGCATTTATTTATAAGAAAAAATTGCAATGTCCTGTTTAGCTAATAAGTATTCAATAGGAGCCACCAGCAAAGTGAAAAGGGCCCGCCGGGAGTCTATATGCCATCAACCAAACCTGATTGCGATCAACCATAATCCTGACATTGACTGAACAGGCACAGTAAATACTTTGCAAAGTAAAGTCATTTATTATGATCTGCCAAATAAAGTAAAGTCAAACGCAGCGAAGCAGACCAAAGAGGACAAGCAAGGGAGATGAACAATGGAAGGCAACTGACTAGCCATTCTTTCTTTTGGTCCAATGAAAGAGTGCGCAAAATTCCATTGCGTATCGAACCTTTTGAAAGTAACAACGCAATCTAAAAAAGTGAGCCTGTGTTTTTGTCGTTGCTAGAATCGGCAGTCACTAGGCAAACACAAATCATTCCTCAGTTATTTTAACGAAAGAGCCACAAAAGCGAGTTCGTATCTTATTTGCACCATCATCATTTTCGAGGCAAAAGATGGAAACAGGGAAATTGACTCGAAATTTCAGTTCCAATTTACCAAATCTAATCCTGCTTAGAGAGGTTCATCATGGCGCACTTTTGGATTGCACTGACATTCTTTGCGGAATCTTGTAAGGTGGATAAAAATTACCACATTTTTAATCACCATGATGATAATTTTCCTAAGGCTTGTGGTGAAACGGCGAGTATTTATGAATTTATGTTAGACTGAAAAATTAATAATGCCATAGTTAAGTGAGAAACAAACTGCTTAACTGCAAATTGATTTATGGTGACTTAACATAGCATTAGATAGGAAGTCTGCGAAGGGTGAAGATCCACCTCTTGATAAATCGGTACTGTACCTCAAAATCTACTTTAAAATGTATGGACCTGATGAGAATCGATGCTTAACATTTGCTTGATCACAATAGAAACGCGATGTCAAAATAAGCTGACGGCGAAGACTGAGAAGAAAATTGTGCCAAATTCGAATTGGCCAAAAAAATTATTGATTCGAAAAAAAACGCTGACAGTAAGTTACCCTGATCAAAACACAAAAATATATGCCCTGTATAAGCTGTACAGCCAAAACCCTTCTAAATCAAAAGTATTACCAACAGCAGGAGTCGACGGCTCTCCCATGGTACGAAGTCGCATGCTGGTTTGCAGACACATTTACAAGAGATGGGTACGAAAACGGTTTGTCAACTTGGACTCGATCGAGCAGACACTGCACGCCCCTGCTGTTTACTTTAGGTGAAAAAGTTAAATATTCAGACAAAATAACAGGGCTAACACACATTCACATCATTTTCTACATCATCTTATTGACTTCAAATACCAGCTAAGTGTGATTGGTTAAATTTGTAGGCTTGGTCATTAGAAAATAAGCGCATCGGACCGTACCGACGGAGAAGAAGCATTTGCCAAAGCCCATGAGCAACATCACAATGAGAAGGTACACCATAAAAGTCCTTGACAATCGACTGGTTCATCTACTTTTTAAAAAAGCCCAACCTTAGCCACGTCACGAATTAGGAAACATGTATTCCAAACAGGCCCTTCCTGTGATGAGTAGCAGTTGCTTTTTGGGTTAAAACGTGCAACAGCATTTTACTGGTGAAATCGGGATCAAAACAATTCATTCAAAGTGCGTACCTGTTTGTGTCGCTCTAGTATGACACGTCCGTCGGGTGACTGCTGAGTCGTATCAGGTTTTTCGTAGATCCTTTCCATGACGAAGGTATGTGTAGAGGTTACGGCTTCCAAGGTTCCAACAATTAGACACACACGCTCCAAGGTCCCTGAGAGGGGCATAAAATAAGGCCGAGCGTGAAAACACTCTCGTTAGGTGCTCATTGAGGAAGTGGCAAGCACACCCACACGCACGAACACACGCATATACATCGAAAAAGGCGAATAGGAGCATCGTATGTTCCGATGATATGATCATAAAACAGGTCTAACAGTATGAAAGGTGAAATACCTGAGATGTGCATGAGGACACACCCAAACATGATTGACAGGAGCAAAGACACAAAAAGAGGGCGCACGAGAATGCGCTCAACGATCGAAACGAGAAGTTTTGAAAGCGATGACTTAGTGCAAAAGCCTGAGTTGTGATATGAAAAATACCTTACGCAGTGACGCATTCAACTGTCAATTTTAGTAATATTTACTAATACATACTCTATGGTAGGTAAACAGCTCTACCTAGCCAATGTGATCCAGGAAAGCGTATTCGTTAAAGGTCGGCATTGGTGAAAATTAGGAACAGCGGCCACAGCAGTTTTAATTATAACCACTGGTATAACCGAAATAGCGACACGAACTCAACAATAAAAAAACTTCAACAAAGTGGCTTAGTAGTTCAAGTGCAAGTGGGTGTCGGCAGAGAACGAATATTTGTTATGCCGAACGTTAGAGTTGGATAATAACTAGGTAACTTGAGTACTTCTTGAAGGCATTCACGTCCAAGATCCAAAGCACTAGACTGAGTTTATCAGATTGCTAGTTAGTATACTACAATATTTCCAGCAGATTTCTACTATAAATGATGTTATGAACCCAGACGCCAGAGGTGGATCGGCGAAAATAACCTAGAAAGTAATTGAATTGTCCTCACCTCCATTTGAAATGTACTGCGTGGCCGACGTATTCGCCTGAGGCATTAATGCGTGCAGCTTCAGTCCAAGTAAAACCAAGACAAGCGTGGGCAAGTACCAGGCTTCAGTAGAATACGGTGTACCCAATCTATGTGGTATTTTTGGTGCTTACAGGACTAAAACTGTACAGCAACGTTTTTTTTCTGGAAGTGTTCGCAAACTACGCAACTCACTAAATTAATTGCGGCTCATGCTAACACACAAAAAATTAATCACAAGTATATGTTAATAAGTATAAGTATTTCCAATGACTGAATCTCTTATCATTGTATACAATGTGCATTTATAAGAAAAATGCGCTAAACTGGAAGTTGCTACACGATGGACTGATGGTAACAGTGATGTTATTGTATACGGATGAGAGTAAAAAGCAAGTCAAGTTTGTTACATCTGTCCTAGCTGATTTATTTGCATGATACTATTAAAACTCTAGAGGATAGCCAGGTTTAAAGTCTTTCCACTCGAATATTCACGGTAGTAACACCAAATGACGCCTTGTACAACAGGGTAGTTGAATGCGCCGCAAATTTGAAACAGCATATCACATTGACATTGGGATGATTTGGACCAAAAGGTTACCTTTTCTATGAACAAAAGAGTCTAGGCAGCATGAAAGGGAACACAGGCGTGCTTGCTTCCAAGCTAAACAGAAATGAGGTGAGCACGTAAGGGACATAGTTGGGAGGGATAGCAGATGACTTGCGACAAATGACAGGGGATGTAATAGAAAGGGTGCGCCATGTAGTGATAAACAATGTTCCAATTGAGGTGGTCTCACCCTCCTTCTCCTCATCACCATCATCACCGATCTCATCGTTATCATCATCGCTGATGAGAACAAGTACAAACTCAATTAAAGACAACGCATTTACCCCGTTAGACATGGACGCGATAGTGACGGCAACTGTAATTCAAGAAAACCAGAATTAATAAATTCTAGCGTAGCTTGGCGAATACATTCATGAAATACTGATAACATCAACAACGCGAAACGTGGCTAGTACAAAGGCTATCTTTTCGAAACGTCCCAATTTTAAGCCAGTTGCACAACTGCAACCTCCGACAGAGCCAAGTTCGAGTAAGAAGCCCTAAAAATCTATTAATTTATGCATTTTTTGTGTGTGGTAAAAAAACAAGCAATCAAACAAAAGGGCTCTTGGTTCTTCCAGAAATTTGGCAAATAACCAAGCGAAATACACTGACTGGCGTTAAAACATAACGTAACAAGTACACTATTGTGATATTCGACGCGATCAAAATTTGACGATAACAAGCGTGACAGAAAAAGAGGCCCGTAAGTGTTGAGGATATGGCTTAATGCCCAAAGAAACGTTATCGGCCTATCAGACAGAATTTCGAATTTTATGAAGTTGTATTTTATTAAAAAAACCAGTTGAAGAAATAAGAACGATAAAACCAAAATTAGCACGAATACTACGATCTCGCATCTGAAGTATAATCAACTTTGAACGTGGAGGTGTCTATGGGACAACCCAAATTATCTGATATGTTGGCAGTTGAGTATGAATCACTCCTAACGTATTCTGCATGTGTATACAGTCCTCAAATTAAAATAACACCTCGAAATCAAGATTAGGTCTTTTGAAAGAAGCTTCTTGTTCTAGCCATGTAGCTCCTAAAATCTGAAGTTATGCAAGACACAATCAACGAAGCACCCAAGTTTACTGTCCTGAATTTAAAATCAGTCAATTTAACGTACATGCAACCCACTTTGCCCTTACAAATCTTATGATATATCGAAGTTGGTCAATTAGAAATAGTTAATTGTGACTTTGGTTGAAACTTGATGAAGCAAGCATGTCGACACCAGTTGAAAGAATCCCGAAAACTAGAACCGCACTTTTAGCTATTGCAGTGAGTGGAAAACATGAACGTTTTGTAGGCTTTAAAAACCAAATCAACGCTCGAAAATAAGTCTGCACGAAGAGGCTTAGATTTTTCCAAGATTCAGACTGCCAAGTCAAGTCGACCAGATTGAATGTCCTTGAACCAACCAATTAGGTGAGACGACGTCCCTCAACAGGCCAAAGTTGCATTACGAAGCTGCTGATACCTGTGTCGGGACTTACAAGAGACCTACTTGGCAATCGAATTATCAAAGCTTTAGAGAATAGCTTTTAGACTACGTGATTCGGGAATACGCACAAAGAGGTACGGAATGGGAACTCTGCGGCAGAACCGGGAATTGGTGGGGTTATTGCTTAACAGGAAAGTACCGCTACCCGGCTACTGGTAGCATTGTATACTTCGTTTTCAATGTATGGCTGGTTTATTACAACTTGGATGAGGTTGGATAAATTTCTAAGAAAAACCCCGTAAAGAAAAAATTTTATGATTTTATTTTTTTAACCCTTTTTTCTCATAAAGATTTCACAAATTCTTTTCAAGTTCGCATAGACTAGAAAAAAGGGGTTATTGAATCCACAAAATAGGCAGGGCCCATTTGAATAACCCCCAAAGAGATAAAGAAATCTGGGAAAGGAATTAGTCGAACCACAGCGGGTCGCACAAAGTAAGTTTACCCAAGCGCCCGTGCCCACATCAAATAGTTTACATTCCATTAAGGGCCAAACACTCAGCGCTCCTATTTTTTGCAAATTCTGGGGTAAAAGTATCAACAGCCAGCTGATTTGGAGAACGGAGGTGCGTGGCCAACACCTGAAACAGTAATTGGGCAGCCGCGACTGTGGAAACCAGAGTGAGAGAGAGAGGGGCAGGATGACAGGATGGAAAAAAGTTCCGCGGTGTGTCCTTTCGTGTATGCGCACGCAACTCGTCCCCCCTGTCCCATCGACCAGTAGTAAACGCGTGCGCAGCCGAAAAAATGCTACGCACACAACGCAAAAAAAAACTAATTACACGGCTTTCGCGTTGAAGAGCGTGCGTTCGTTCAGCCGATTTAACGCGCTGCTGGCTTCAAAACAAGCTCGCACGACCTTGACTGCCTCAAGGTTACATCGGGGTTGCAGCGACGCGCGTCTACGCGTCAAGTCTTCACGGTGTGGCATTACTCACAATACATCACACAACCGAGACCACCCCACTCCGGCCAGGTCCGGCAGCAGGCTCCCACTAGATTTATTTCGGTATCATAATAAGTCAGCCGATCATGCGCACGTCCAACCGACGTACAGAGAAGGGATTTGTACCTCGATCTCATTACGGTTGTGCTGCAAGTAAACCAGCCGTGGGGAATTTCGCATCTTGAGAACTAAAGCCTCTGCACACATATTACCGATTTTGTCATAAAGGTTACGATCTAATTACTCATCCACGTAGAACAAGGTGCGTGGCTCAGGTGCTGCCATAACCTGAGAACATGGTAATCCAACTGGTTAATTCAATATATAAAGGAGAGATGTGAACTACATTCGCGGGATTACTCATGAAAGCTGTTCGGCAAACTTGTAGAATGGGTTGTTTTTGAACAGGAGACGGTATATTTAAATGGTAATTATGCGAAAAATCAGACATGACAGCACACAATCCCCAATGAGTTCTTATGACTGTAAGAAAATTATGTCCGTGAAATAAACATCTACGTGTGATTTGGGGCTTGACGAAAATCGCGAGTAGAATGAATCACCGAAACCGGAACAAATATCGACAAAGGATTTATAACAATCGAAAAAGTGTTCTAATAGACAGAGCCAGGACCTACGATTCACATTATTGACCAAATGCAGCACTTTCACAAGATTCTCCATTTAAAAATTCCCGATTTTTAGCCTGACAGCTTATATCCAAATGAAGATAAAACACCGTAGAAACTACTGATCCTCCCTGAGTTTTGCTTTATACACCATCTTGGAAGCTATTGTTTCCTGTGCTTTAAGTCCTCCGTTATTCTACGTGCCTTTTGCCAGCTCACGATCCTCAATGTGCGGTGCTAGTCCAAGGCGATATTTTCAATTTCCATTTTCGAAGTTACCCCACTGCATCATGTTACACCAAATGTGAAGCGTTAACTTCGCAACAACTATTTTACTTCTAGAAGAGAATGCGTTTATGAGTCAACTTCAGGTACCTACTCCCATGGTCTGTTGCACTTCACAAATATGAGACATGTCTTGAAGATCACGCAAGAAATTGCAGAACTCGCTGCTGGGAACTGATCAATTAGAGGAACCGGACAAAACACCTGAGTCCTAAGACAATCATTCGACAGCCTCAAGTTTAGCCAAACTAGTTTCGAAAATTAAAAATTGCAACAACATAAGTGGATTTTAAGTTAAAATTCCCAGGGAACCTATCTGTATAAATTCTCGTTAGTACGATCAAATTAGAAAATTTGGGATGAATTGGACAAGGCAATTAAAATTACACTGCTGATTTAAAAATAAATTTCCCTGGAATTTATTGTTCAAATAAAGCCGAATCCCTTTAGAAAGCGCAAGTTACTAAGGAAGCACGACCAGTCGTCCGAATCTACCAGTGGCTCTCGTATTGCGCTATCACATATACAAACAGCTGTCTAGAACATTCCGACGTTTTAAGAATCACGTGCAAATGGCCTCGCGATTTTTATACAAAAGGATAACACTACTGCGATTGGTACTTCTAATAAAAGGTCGGACTTCGTGATGCAAAAAAGCCCAGAACCTCCAAACCTGAAGATTCCAAATAAATTTTTACCTGAACCCCCCTTTGTTTAATTGAGAAACCACAACGCCGAGTGTAGTAGATCAGTGCAAAAATGCCTACGTTTTGAATAAAAGTGACCAATTAGAATACCCTTTCTACGAAAACGGCGAAACGAAAGGTTCGCATCAGCCAAAATAATTGCAAGTCACCTTTACTCTTGCTGGGAAGCATTCACGCTAGTTACAGGATGTCCAGAAAGGTTTGTTTTGGGTCAGAATCATCTGCAGAAAATTCACTAAAATTCAATTAAGGCATCGTAGGAGCTTAATGGTTTGCATGGTCATTAAGCACGATGAGCCATCGCCAGTAGGATTTAGCCGTTGGCACCTTGACAGCGCAGACTTCGTGGACTGATGACCAAAGGCGTCGTTGGCGTGTGCACCCCGCTCCCTGACGGTGTCTGCGTCCATAAACCAAAATTAACGCGCAGCAAATAACTGTTATTTCCAAAAAAATCCAGGGAAGTTCAAGAGGCTGAAATCTCGTTCCTCATGATTTCATTAAGTGATAGGGACTGTAACATTACTGGGAATGTTACCAGAACTGTGAAGGCTGTTTAAGAAAAATCAAAAATTTACATGTTAATAAATCATGTTAACTAAATTACCACGAACGAACCTACTTAGTAAGGTCCTCTATTATCTAAAACCCCCGGGAAATCCCGTACAATCAACTACTGATGGCACAAAAATGTTGAATAAAGACCAACGTTACACCTGAATCAGTAGTTATCAAATGGTAACTCAGTGTCGTCCGGAGCTTCTCACAATTGCTTGTATTAGTTCCACTGTAATTTTGCATAATATACTGGCATCTCTGGACACCGATTTTAAAATATTTATGAAAAAACCGACACAAGGGAAAGGGGTTTTCTAAAGACATCTGTAGTACACAAAATTCGATACCTTAAGATGTGCCAATTTCGGAGGGGAAATTTGGCAATAAAATACTAGCGATAATCGAATATCGGAATTTGGTGATTTAAAAGCCCGCAGCCGCATTAGAGATAGCTGGGTTAGGGTTAAAAACCTTTTTTACAAGGTCGAAAAACGCCTCCATGTGTCAATTCTTATAACGTTAAGAAAACTAAGATAAATCGAAGTTAGGTCTGTGTTTCTACTTCATTATATGCTTCATGTCAAAGTGAAAGGAACCACCTCCATATCTCTCTCAGTTAACCACACTTCTTCCGCATCTCAACGCAATGCTAGATGTCAAAATGGTGGTTGATTTTCGTGCAGCCAGAAGGCGAAACGTGCCCGTGCAAAGAAAACTGCTTGATGTTCCCCTCTGGCCGCGTTAGCGACATCAAAAAAATACGAACAATGTCCTGTCCACCGGTTTTAAATGCCAGTTACCTCAAAATAGAGCAGCAGTTTGTCAGACATTAACGGGGTCGCAGCAAATTTGAAAATACTTCCCATTTTTTAGACACACATAATACCAAAGGTTTTGTAAGTCATGCCGAGTTCTTCTTGAACATCAGAGATAACATGGTGAGAATATTAAAACTTCACGAACCATATGTTAAGCATAAACTATAAAAGGCCGTTGTTAATCAGTTTATACTAAGTTGAAAATGATATTAACAGGATAAATTGAGTTGACAAGAGGTCACTCATGGACCAAAATTGAATGCGGTTTAAAAAGAGCGCGGTTAGATTTAAATAAATGTGCTAACTCGGGTTATTGCCGCGTCCCCGTTTTCAAATGTATCTTGATAAACGCGCTACAGTCGTTTGCACCGATACAACAATTAACAAATTATTGCAGTGTCATCAATCGAATCACACATTTTATGGAATTTCGCTCGATACATTGTAGCTGCCACTATTTTCACACATACTTTTAATCATTTCTTACACAACGCAATAAATCTACTGACATTTGAGAGATCTAACGCCTATTCGTAAACATTTGCGTGATACATATCATTCTGCCAGTGGAAATAGTCTTGAATTAGCGCCAAACAATATCCAAACGTACATTTTTTTTAAACAAATAACCATTTATCTAAAGAAGCCCCCAAAAGAAATCGAAATGAACTTGATTTCACCTCCAGGAAACGACTTGTTGCCATTATGCTAAATTAAGTAGTTCATCTATCAAAGTTGGCAAAATAGCTCAATATTGCCTTTCACAAATTTATGAACGCGCTGTAGTTTTGTAAGAAAAGGATTTTAGAAAAGTTCTACTCAAACTGCAGATTAAAAACAAAGTCTGATACGAGTCGACTCGAATACAAATGCTCCGAATACGATAACGAGGATCTGTATTGACATCTAACATGTACGACAATTAGCCAAATTGCATAAGTGCGTGTTTCGACCCACTCAATAGGGTTCCTTATAAGGAAAAGAATGTTATAGCGATGTAAAATTAGCTTTACAGATGTGGGCACCTCAAATGCGCCAATTACAACAAAATGCGTGATTGCGTTTAACAGCCATCGAAGAGTTATAAGTTGTGTTTCGGATGTTTAGGTTAAACCCTACTCGATGTTGGAACTCTACCTTGCCGAGCAATGGCATTACTACACAGCATCGATGATGCATCTGAAAAAAAACCACCTATCTTTAACAATGTTAATGACTTAAAAGTACTTATTGAACCGCTGGTTTGGTAAAACACAAATTCTAGGTACCAAAAGGCAGATTTCTGGTTTGCCTGAGGCTGCTGAGTAAGGTTACAAAATGGGCGCTGAGAAAAACCATGTAAATGGGTAACAGGTTTCCCTTCTTTATAATGAGGTTTTTCGAGCGGGATACTCTAAATTCGGTACGCATAATCTATTGAAGACAATAAACACATTATCGGAATCAAGGGAAACATTGCTTTGAAATTTCTTGATATGATGATTTAATCTTGTTCATCCTTTTGCGGCTTCAACAAGCTGCGAAAGTTGCAATTTCACCAAACTAGTGACGATAAACTTTGGCCAAAGGTGAGTCGAATTTGGAACCTACGTTGTGCTTTTGGCGAATAGGTTTCTGCCCTACATAAGGTTTTTGTTGAATTTTTTACGCAGTAACGTATTTGGACAGGTGGCCCAATATAAACCACATAAATTAGACTCAGGGTAATTGGCATTTCTAGAAAGTGAGACCTTTATTTGAATCAGAAATTCGAAGTGACTAACAAAGTTGATCAGTAAATTCTACAAGCTGGAATAGCCAGAAAATTTTACGTTAGGCTGGTCATAATGGTAACCAAATCAAGACTACAGATAACGTGCCCAAGGCAAGCTGCAAATTTGTGAATAAAATAGGCACTTTAGGGGACAGAACATTTTTAAATACTACTTTACACGTGTGAGTTGTAACAAACTGAAACCCACTTGGTATCGACGCTCGCGTAAGGTATC